CTATTTCAACCTAAACGGGTAATATTGAGCCAAATTCTTTTTTCATCCAAAAAAAATTGATGATTTAATTTTTTTTTTTTTTTTTTTTTTTTGTTTTGAAAATTTAATTTTAAATTTCAATTTTTCAATTTTTAAATACAGGAAAAACTAAACTGAATGTCATAATTGTAAATAATATTGAATCACCCTGTATATCAATGATAAAAGCATCTTATTTTCCATCAAACACATCATCATCATCATTGATTTCACAATTGGAAAATTTCTTCTAAATCAAGAATCATGCACAAACAAAAACAAACAAAACAAACATTCTATATACAAAAATATTCCAATAGATCAAATAACAACACCACATTGAACAATCAATATAAAATCAAAGCATTACAATTATTACATTCGGAAATATTTTTTTTTCTCTCCATTTCCAAATGATTCTTCCATTAGGTTTTTTTCTTTTTTTCATTTGTTACAGAATTTTGGCAAATGAAAAAATACAAATTCCATGCATTGCCTAGGCAAAGTAACGAATGAAAAAGAAGATTTTTTTCATTCAGAAAAGTCAAAAAAAGAAAGAAGAAGAAAATTTACATAAAGTTCTGTACAAAATGATGAAGAATTTATTGAATTGATGAATGGATGTTTGTGTGTGTGTTTGCAAATGTGTAAACAGCAGAATAAAAATGAAAAGAATGGAATGCTGAATCGTATCTATAGACACACACACACACACGTAAATTAGTCAGATGATGAGGATTTTATGAAATTCAAATTTTTTTTACTGTTTCTGTTTTTTGTTTGTTTTCTCTATAGAGCAAAACGAAAATAAACCAGAAATGTATTCAAAATTTTGTTTACAAATTACCTCTACATCACAGGAGAAAAAAATCAATCAATCAAATCAAATCAAATCAATTTCAATTTGATTAGATTAAAATTCCAAAAATAGTTCTCTTTGGATTCTTGTTTTTCATTTGCATTTCAAACAAGAAAAGAAAAACATTTATCAATGAAATTCATTTTCAGGTTAATCCAATATTGAGGGAAATGAGAGGAAAAAAAAATTTAAATTTTAAAGTTTTTAAAAAAACAGAAACAGAATCCTCATTATCATCAGCAAAATCCTTCTTCGAACCCAATGCTATTTTAACCTGACTTGAATACCTGATTATAATAGACCTTTTGAGTAATAATAATCTAGCGAAAAACAAAACAAAACAAAACAAGGATGCGATTTTTTCGTTAATTATAATAAATTGAAAGTTTTTTTAGTTTAGTTTTAGTAAATTTCTAAAAATTTATCATTCGACTAATAGATATTATCATTATTTATTTTGCCAACAAACAAAAAAAAAGCATCAAAAGTTAGTTAAAAATCTTCAAAACAAAAATTTTTTTTTAATGAATTCCGTTTTTGTTTGCTTCGGATACAGTCGGAAAAAAACAACATTCTCATTAAGGGTTATCCATAATGAATAAAACTTGTTCATTTTGGCATAATGAAAAAAACACAGAAACAGAAATGAAGAAACAGGAATGACATTATGATCCGATTAAATTATTATCATCATCATTATAATTATGATTTTTTTTTACAATCATTAATATTGGGTAATTAGTATTCAAGGAGAAAAACAGTAAATTTACTTTTGTGCAATGAATTTATCGTTTTTTTTTAAAAAAAACAACAGCAAATCCCTACTTGATTTTTCGCGTGATTCAAACAAAATCCATTTGTAATTCGTTTCTTTTCGTAAGTGTGTTTATTCAAACTTGATTTTAATCATTGATCGGATATTGATGATTGAGAAATTTCGTTTTTCTTCTTCGACTATTTACACACACACACATGCCAAAGTGAGTTCGCAATCAGGTTTTAATGTTGCAAATTGATTGAATAATAATGATGATTTTCTTTTTGGCCGAATCAAATATCCATGAAATAAGCAACGATAATCTTTGAATTTCCGAAATTATGATTCGGATTTACGAATCGGCTTTTCGGCTTTTGATCTCTCTTCGTTAGTTAGTTAGTTTTGCGATTGATCGATTTCGAAATAATAACAAGCTGTAGATGACGGTGTTTACC